TTCTTCACGCTGTTCTTTTTCTGCTCTATCGCTCCCTTCTCCGCGCTATTCCAATTCAGTTGCCGCTATGTCTCTCTCCTTATTGCTCTGCTTTTTCTGCGCCTTCTCTCAGCCAAATGTTCCTCACCTCCTTCAGGGGTTTTCCTCGTCTCCCGTACGAAGCTGTCAGTTCCACTTTTCGCTTCCCTCTCAGACTGTCACCATCGCTCCAGGCCGGCCTTAAAGACCGGCTTCTTCTCCGCCAATTTTAAGAGTGCTGCTCCTGTTAGCTCGGATGTTTGCGTTCCACCCGGCTTCTCTGAAGCTTCCTCTTTAGTTTACCAATCTCTCCAGGATCGGCAAAGCCCTTTCTGGGCTCTTAGCGAAGATTTCCCGGGATTTAGGAACAGAGATCTATTCCTTCACCCACTCCACGATGACGTCACAGCCGGAAGACTCTGTTTCCAATATTATTGTTGTATCTTCTGAGTTTTCCTTTATCTGAATGTGCTCATTAGTTTCTTCCTTTATATCATCAATGTTTGTGTCAGCATTCTCTAGCTTTCCTTCTATTTTCTGGGTTGCTGGTTCCTTCTCTGTAGTTGTCTTCTGAGTTTGTAGATTTAAATTAGAAAATTGTTCTTTTATCTCCTTTGTGTTTTTATTAACCTGCTCCCAAGCTATAGTAATTGGGGGGTTTTTTTTGTATTAATTTAAACATGGGATTTCTTTCTGTGTTTCATCAGTATTTTACTGGTGTTATGGCAAGTTAAGGCTACTGGGAACAGATGTTAAAGATGGTGTTTCACTATTTAATGCTGAGTATGAAACATCCATTTTATTTATTTTTTTTATAAGTAGCCTTTATAGATTTATCCAACCAACTGTCCAATCCTGAGTCTCCCCTAAGCAGATATAAGTAAAATTCAAAATTTTCTGTCCAATAAGAAATATATTCTTTCTGTCCAGGAGAAAAGAGAACCATTGAAGGTTGTTTATCAATCAAGATTTATAATCCAAAGTGTTCCATATGTTTCTTCTACAAAAAAATAAATCCACAATACAGTTCTGAAAGTCAGTATTTATGTTCAAAATTCAGACAGGCCAAATTTAGAATGTTTATCATCTCTGCCACACAGATAACGAGGGGAAAAAGAAAACATCTGGAGCCCAGGAACAAGGACAGACGCGAGTTTCAAAGAAAAGAAAATCTTACAAAGATTCGTCTCTCAGCTTGTGTTCAGAAAGAAACACATCAAGGCTAATTTGATTGTAAAGAGTAAAAAGAATTAAAAAATACTGGGACACCATATAAAACACAGTATCATAAAGAATAGCTAGGTCTGATTTCTATTGGGTTTAATAATAATTCAGAGTTGGGCAATTCTCCCTGCCAACGCTTTAACAATGTGTCCCTGGATTAGACAGCTGGATTGATGACATAATTGACAAGTAGGTATTGTGAAAGTACTTATCATTTTCTCCCTGTAATTTAATATTTGGATTAAGCACATAACCAAGAAGAGCTACTGGAGGCAGGACAGATCTAGAGATATTTCTCAAACAGTGTGATGCCCTCATTAAGACATTTCATAATTGGCAAGGGAAACTGAGTGAAATTTTCTTTTCCATGATAATATCCTGATGATGGGCTTCCAAATGTGTGTATGAAACATAATAATGGACCACTAGATAATATTTTTGTGATCCAAAACATTCTCCTGTCATGGTTCCGACAGATGAAACTCTTCAAAGAACTTTGAGGCATTGTTTACCTTAAAGAATCTTTATTCAAGAATCACAACATCGGCACTAACATAATCGAAGCCAAAAACTGAATTCCCCTCCCCTGAGCACATAGTATCAAAGCACAATTCCCTCCTTCAATTAACAGTCATAAATCACATTCCCCAATTAACTTGAAGCGCAGGCCCCCTTTCCAGTTCTTCAGCCCGCCAAGTCCTTATTAGCTCTGGTTACAATAACCTTGCTTCTCACACTAGGTCTAGTGTTATTATGTTCACATCCCCTCTCCCAGCATAATCTAACTCTAAAAGCAAAAGGTAAAAGATGGCTACATCTCCATTTGTTGTCAATGCAGAAACATCCGATGTTAGCAGCATTGATATCTTCTTTTTATTCAGATAAATTTCATGAACATGTGCTACACCGTGATTCTTAAGTAGTTTTTAAGTAATTCTGGCATAGTATTACTTTAGGGACATATTGGATTACACAGCCCGTGGTTTTGAAAAAAAAAATCTCCTCCTCTACCATTTGAATAACACATGGTCAGATTATATTAACCTGTTTAATATAATAGCAACTTGCTGACAAAATACCAGCAGTATACAAAGAATCAAAAGACAGGTTGCTATTTGTTTCCAATTAACATAGTATGTAAAACAGGAAGAAAAGCAAAAAACTTCAGCTAAAAGGAAACAACCACCTCCAGATCGACTAGAGAGCATCAAAGGAAAACAACCAGCAGGACAATGATAGCAATAGGGATATTCCTGTTTGTTTTGCTGCTTGCTCTGCTGATTCTGTTCTTCCTGAAACAACTCTGGACCCGAAGACATTTGCCTCCTGGTCCTTTGGCTCTACCTCTCATTGGGACCGTGTGGACTGATGGGTTTTGGCTTCATGAAGATTATTACCTTAAGGTATTTCATTCTAAATAATTAACCAGTAATAAATATGATAATTCTAAATTGTTTTCTTTGTACCAAATGTATGGACAAATTCATGTCTAAAATATTCTTACACAATGAGGAATACAATTAATCTAATTAATAGTGATTACATTTGATTAGTTATTTTTGTCATTATGCAAGAATATCCAAGCGGAGACCTGCTGACCAACATTTCACAGAGCAGGATGTGAAGTAATGGGGCTGAATTTTTAGAACTTTGAACTGTAAAATTATTTTGGGATCCTAGAATAACAGATGAACATCAAGATTGTATCCTTGGAAGGAAGTACTAGCAGGCTTTTACTTAAACTAATGCAATTCCAAGCAACAATTACACAGAGCAGAACAAAAAGAGGGGGGGAGGGGAGAACAATTTATGACTTGGGAATGTTGTTCATGACTGTCTTCCAAGAAACACAAGTACATTCTTTACTTCAGATTTTTTATCTTTCTCTGGAACCAGAAAAATTGGCTCTGTCACACTTTCCTGGCTCCTGGTGAGCAAACTGTAAATGGTAGCACCAAGAGCAATGCAGGTTCACCAGGGTGCATTTGTCCTCTATTGAAGATGGCCTCTTTCTCCAGAGAATGTTGTAAGGCTCCCTATAGTCTGAAAGGGGGTTACTAGATTCTTTTTTATTTTGGGCAACTATTGACTTACAGTTTTCCTTCATAATATTTGCATACATCATATTTCTTAAGGAAGTTGGTCATTTTTTAAAAAACTACTTTCCCAATAGTATGTATGGAGATACTGCTGTTCTTGTAGTCAATCTTAATTCAGGTTGTAACCCATCAGAGGAAGGGAACAAACAGATGGCAGATGGTGGATTTCAAGCAGAAACATAGGAAAAGGAACATCCCAGGAAAATAAAGAAAAGAATATAAGACGTTCTTGGCAGGAATCTTAGAAAAAATAGGTTTCTAAAGAGTTGAGAATTACCTACAGTGAAACATGCTAAAATTTAGGTTTTAGGAAAGACTGTAGGTGTCAAATCATATGTAAATAATTTGTTTATTTGATTGTAATGTAGCTCATCTTTGATTCACTTGATAGCATGTAAAACGATATGGAAATGTACACTCCATGTGGCTTGGACCTTACCTTGCAGTTGTGCTGTCTGGATTCAAAACTGTGAAAGAAGGAATGACCAGCTTCCGTGAAGAGTTCGCTGATCGACCAAATGATCCTTTCTTTGATATTTTAGGGAAAGAAAGGGGTAAGTGCAAATAGTGAGAAATTGAACCTAAGTTATCATCAAACTTTTCCATTTTGTGGTAACATGATGCATAGAATTGTTGTAATCAACTTCATCATATTTTGGTTTTCAACACCAAGTGCTGAAATATGTGTGTGTGTGTGTGTGTGTGTTTGCCAAAGACATAGCCCAACTTTTTCTAGTTCATGTCTTTCATTACCGTGGCATGCTGTCAGCACTCGTGTCAGACAGAGGCACACAATTCCAATCTAGATTTTGGAAAGCACTTTTCCACCTACTAAATGTCAAAGGCAACTTCTCCTCACCTCACCACCCTGCCACAAATGGGGAAGCTGAAAAAACTAATCAGCTCCTACACCCGTACTTGAGGTGCTACTGTATCTACCGCCAAGAAAACTGGTCAGTGTCACTGCCACTCACTAGCTCCTTCAGAAGAGGGGGAGGAGGATTCCTTTGAGACTGCCTCCCTTCCACCCTTGTCAAGTTCCCATGAGAACAGACTTTGCAGGACAATGCATGAAGAGGAAAACAGCATAGAAAATACATGGTACAGGAGAGGGGCAAGATGGAGGGATGGGTAATGTAGGAGATGACCAAGCTGAGCCCAAGGGAGGGGTCAAACATGTGAGTCCCTTCATGAGTCATGAGTCCCTTCATGCTCAGAAGAGATCTAAGTCAAGCCCACCTTGAATTCTTTCTACTTCTATCTCCCACTAATTTTCCTTGGCTGTTAGGAGTTCAGATTCGTGTAGAGAGCTCAAGCTTACAATAATTTTTTATACCCATTTGAACTGTCTGGATCTCCTGATTTTCCTGGCACTCAACAATTATTTTAGAAGCTTTTGCTTTCCATTATATAAGATATAGGTTGGCAAACACTGTCCCCATGCCACATATATCTCCCAATGTCCATATGAATTCCATAATGAATAAATATTTTTAAAGAAAAAATAATATGGACAGAAACGTACAAATTGGCCGCATGTTACAAATGTTTGGTATTTCCAGCCAAGAGATGTTTGGCATAACTAATCCTAATCCTTTTTTAAGAATCATTTATCACTCTCTGCTGATGCCCTCAGGAATTCTTCTTTCTAATGGCCACACCTGGAAACAGCAGCGACACATTGCCATCACTTCTCTGCGGAAGCTGGGCCTGGGGAAGAAAAGCATTGAGCATCAAATAGAAGGCACAGTTCAGACATTGGTGGAGATCTTTAGACAAAAAAAAGGTCTGTGATTTGGAGTAATATTATGGCTCAAGCCCCTGAGTGCAGAAATATTTTTCATTCTGATTATTTCAAATAAAAACATATTTATTTGATTTGATTTTTTAAAAACAGATTTTATTGGTTTTTTTAATTATTACAAAGTGCTCAAGACACACCGTGGGGCTGGGGTAATTAAAAATCCAAAAACAGAACATACATAAGTAATTCAATCAATGCACCCCATACTCCCTCTTTATTTCCCTCAAATAGCTTATATATTTAAACTATTTAAACTATTTCTACCTTAAATTTCTATTAATCCTAAACCTGTTTTAAATCTTTATGCAATTACAAAACCATAATCAAATTTAACTTCAAATACACACATTATCAGTTCAGGTATCTCTTCTAAATATGTCCTAATTCTTTAATTTCATCATAGATCTTATTTATTTCTTCCACAAATCTTTCCCAGTTAAAATAAACATTAATCTATCCTATACTTATCTCATCCATCAATCCATCAATTTTTTTTAACAAAGTTATAACAACCTTAAATCATTTGAGTCCCTTGGATAAGGGTCTATTTTCATCCAATTAGTTATCAAACCTACTATCATCCATATTATCAAAGCGAACGCATCATCTTATTAAAATCACATTCCATTAACTATTAATTCAATCCCGATCTAAAACATCTCTTCATTTTTCTTCATTCCATTATATAATACTTTTCATACATTAATCACCCATTTTTTCTTATTTCTATTTCGAAACCTAATCCTTAACTCAGTCCATAGTTCTAAAATGCCTTATATCCAATATATATAATTTTAAATTTCTTTTTTCAGTCTTATTCTGGGCTTTTTTTTCTGCCAGGCAGGTTTCCACAACAACGCTTCCCTTCCAACCGGTAAATCTCTCTTTGTAGCTTGTGATATTATTTGAGGCAGTAATGAGCTTCCTGTCGTTTAGATTTCAAATTTCCATCTTTGTTTTTTCTGGTCCTCACAAATATAGATAAGATGCTTGTAGGATGAAATAAGCTCCTCTATATCTTCAATGAAGTCATCTTGTAGTGTATTTTGGTTTGTAGAGTAGACAGATGTATTCTGAACATCACTTTTAAAATTTGAAGAAGAATTTCTGATTGTTAGTTCTGTGGTGATCTCTTTCATTGTAACGGATTCCTCTTTAATTTCCTTTAGTTCCTCTTCTGGTATATTTTGGTTTATAGCATAAACAGATGTAGTCTGAAGATCAGTTTTAAAGTTTCGGGTGGCATCAACTTTTCGTTCTGTAGTAATCCTTTTCCTTATAGCACATATTTCTTCAGAAACCTCATAAATCTTTTCCAGTATAAGCTTACAATTTAAATGAGAGTGGAGTTTCTCCATTTTAAAAGTAGTCAAAGAAAGTATTTTCTTTATTATTATTATTATTATTATTATTATTATTATTATTATTATTATTATTATTGTTGTTGTTGTTGTTGTTGTTGTTGTTATTATTATTATTATTATTTTAATGAGGGCTATAGTTAAACATTGTCCACCCCCTCAGTTCCCACAGCTGCTCCAGCTTATCTCTTCCAGGAATATTTTGAAGGTCACGTTTTTATCCAAGAAATAGTTGCAATATTAATTTTTCACCACTAGATGTCCTCAGTAAATAAAAAAGAAACTTTTCCAGACACCATTTTTTTCCTTTTTTCTCTCTTTTAAAGGAAAGAGTGGAGAAAGAAATATTCTTCCAATATTAGTTCTTAATAAAATTCAAAAAAGCGTGTGTGTTTTTTCTGTATCCCAAAATGAGTAAAAATAAAGTATAGTCTTTAAGAAGTTTTAACGCCTCTCTTCCCACACATACAGAAGCCGCTCTTTCCAGACAGGGAAATAATTCCAACCCAAGTTTTTTCAGGCAAAAAAGACCAAGTAAGGGAAAGAGAGGGACTAAAGGGGTCTCACCCAGATCCTCCGCAGTGGGTCTAATATCGCTTAGCTGTAATTGTGACTTCAGCTGGTGCAGCAGGATGATCAGCCATCTTGCAGGACGATTGTTGCTCCGTCGGCCCTAAGGAAATAGCTGGAGCCACGGGAGAAGCTGCTGCTCTCCCACAGCCACCAGCAAGCCTCCTTCTCAGTGGTTGCCCCTCCAGGGCAACTTTCGACCCAGTGGGGGGTCTACCAACGAAGAAAACCCGGCCGGGCTGGAGACAAGTCCCCAGACGCAACCGGCGTCGCCGCGTACCGGAATCGGAAGTCTATTTGATTTGATTTTTAAAAACTGATAAAGTTCCCAATTCTCTTCCTTCATCAGTGTCCCAAGTTTATTAGACAGGGGACATAACAAGATGAACAGACTCTACTTCTACGTTAGCAGACTCTTGCAAGTTTGAAAGTACAAATCTCCCACAGTTTCTTTTTACTGCCTGATAAGTTGATGGGATCCTTTCAAAGTTTCTGTTATTCAGTTGTGGCCTCCTGAACATTCCCTAGGCAGTGCTTCTTCTCCTATCTGTCTTCCAAGGTCATTCTCACAATCTATTACATCACCTTAAAAGTCCTGTTCTTTAATATTAACAGGTTAGCAGGAGAATCTGAATTCACTATAAAATACTTTCATTTGCAGGACAGCCATTTGACCCGTCACTTCTGGTACTAAATGCAGTTTGTAATGTCATATGTGCTTTGAATTGTGGACATCAGTTTGCTCCTGAAGATGAAAACTTCCAGAAACTAACTCAAGCTCTTAATTATTTTTTTAATTTCACTGGTGGCTTTTATCATACGGTGAGTTATATTTTCTACTAAAGAGACAATGCCCCCCAAACAAATTATGTTTTCTATTATCTATCCATTTATACCATTTTTCCCAAACAGTGTAAAATTCTGAATCGTCTTTTTCTTTTAGTTCTGAAGTGAGTTTATCCATTTTGGCACATTTATATATCTTCTGAATGATCAATCCCTCTGGTGGTATATTGTGTTCTTTCCAGTATTGCGCGAACATAATTCTTGCCACAGTTAATATGTGTAGAATATTTTCCTATCACATTTTTTTTTAAGTATTCCCAGGAGAAATGTTTCCGGGTTTAGTTCTATTTGACATTTTGTTAGCTCGTGTAGCCACCCTTGTATCTTAGTCCAGTATTTTTTCACTTCGGGACACGACCACCAAGCATGAAAGAAGGTACCTTGATGATGGTTACATTTCCAACATTTTGGGCTTTGATTCGGGTACATTTTCACCAAGTTTGCTGGGGCTAAGTGCCAGCGGTATAGCATTTTATACTGATTTTCCTTATATGCAGCAGATTTAGTTATGGTGTAATTTTTGTTCCAAATTCTTTCCCAATCTTCTAATTCTATATTGTGCCCTATGTTTTTTGCCCATGCAATCACCAAAACAACTAGACAAACTATTGATAGGCCCCGAAGGGATAGTCATTTTTGATCCAAAATACTATCTTGTAGTGCTAAGTCAATGATACTATATCACAAACTAGTACACTGGGAAAATCAGAGTTAGATGATGCTGGGGGGAGGAATGTGCATGAGAGTTTAGCTAAACATAACCATACTGGACCTGGTGCGTGAACCAAGGTTATTGAAATAAGAGATGATAAGAATTGGTGGGCTGGAGAACTGCAGGGAAAGCATTGGAGAATTGGATTTATGACTACATTGGAGAATGTGATTTATGACTGTTAGTTGGAGGAGGGAATTGTGCTTTGATACTATGTGCTCAGGGGAGGGGAATTCGGTTTTTGGCTTTGATGATGTTAGTGCTGACACTATGCTTCTCTAATAAAGATTCTTTAATGTAAACAATGCCTCGAAGTTCTTTGAAGAAAAGTTTCATCTGTCGGAACCATGGCACACAAGTTGCTTGTCACAGATAAACACATTTAAAAAGGCTCCACTAAAAAAATAAAACAACTCTGTAATAGCTTTATAATAATCAACCTGCCTCTAACATTACCTGCTATGTAGAAGTTGGGATTTTTAGGAGGGGGGCTTTGGGGATCTGATACCATGTTTTAAAGTGTTGGTAATATTTTTCCTCCTCTTTCTATTAGATATATTATTTGCTCCCATGGTTAATGAACTACCTCCCAGGCCCTCACAAGAAGGCCCTGGCTTCTGTGGATTTGATCCTTACCTTTGCAAAGCAGGAAATAGAGAAACACAAGGAATATCAGTCTTTGCACGAGCCACAGGATTTCACTGATTACTATCTTCTTCAGATGGAAAAGGTATTGTTCTGTTTTCAAGTAAAAGGCATTGAGACGAGCAGGAGTAACAAACAGTCTTGTCTTTATTCCATTCACAACAGAACCAAAAACAAAATGGCGCGGATTGCTCTTATACCCCTTTGCAGGGACAGTGTCAGCCAATCAATGCAAGGCATTTCTCCCGCCTTGCGCATGCGCGAAAGGCGGGAGACAGCCTGTCTGGTCTCAGGCATTCACGTGGTCTGCCCGGGCCTCTCTGCAGCCTCCTTCACCTGCTGAATGACTCAGCAGGCCCAGGACATAACAGGTATAGTTTTATTGTAGCTCAATACATGAGAAAGGAATCGTCACACTCCTTGCTGTAGGTAAATAGAAGGAAATACTGATTCTGTCTTCCTTCTTCCTAGATTTTTTTTTTCTTTTTCATTCAGCTTCCATTCTGAATATAGCTCATGGTAAATTCAGGTTGCTTCTCTTGGAGGTTAAATCCGGTCCACGTCTTATTCCAAGCCGGTAGAGAAATCCAGGAAAAGGAAAAAATTGTGGCAGGCTGCAGTTGGAAAGGAGATTTATTGGCCCAGTAACGGCAGTGACAACAGCAAACATTTCTGGGGCAGCTTGGAAATTGGGGTTATGAGTTAGCTAGGTTTTATATGTTTCTGAGTTTTTTCTAGTTGTTGTTTTGGGATTTGTGTGAAAATGTGTTCTTTCTATGTTCTTTAGGCTGGATATAATATTTTAATTGTCACTGCAAGATTTTCTATTGTGGCATGTGGGGTCATGACTCACCTTAAGGGCAAAGGGAAAATGAAAAACAAGTGTTTTGTTTTCCTGATGTTGTCCCCAATTCGGGTCTGAGCCTGTGCCGAATCCTATGAAGAACACCAGAGATGAAGTACAGGTATCGTTTCCTTGTATTGAAGCGCTCCAAGAAAAGGGGTCCTGGCTAGAAAATGTCATGGAACCTTGAACAATAGAATTAAGAAAGCTTTATACATTTTCACTAAGGCAGAAGGTGGAATAAGGTAGGATGTATAAAACTAATCATCTGATAAACATTTTAGTAATGATCTAACCATCATCCTATTGGTCTCTAGTCATCCCTATTCCTAAACCTTGGCTAATGAATTATCAAGGAGTTATATCATACACATTGTATTTGCTCCAGGACATCCCTATTCCTAACTTCTACCTGAGGTATGCAGGATGTCTAACTCTTTGTCATTGTCCTCTAACCATCTAGAATGGATGCAAGTGTTACACGTGCATATTCTCTGTGAATAAACATTTTTTGTTCTTGCCAGACAGACTCCACAATTACAAGCATCCCAATTTTCTTTCAAGTGCATGTCATAGCCTTGCTTCATTTTAGCAGACAGCCCATCACTGATTTAATCTCGTTTCCATAGTTAGTTTGAGCTCCTGGTATATTCTGCCATCTATTTAGAGATTGCTTTAGCCAAGTCCGATTTTAGAATGTAGACATTGTTTTATGAATGGAACTTAGTTTCCTTAAGCTTTGTCTGCAGGTTATTTTAGGGGAGGAAAGACTGAGGTTGCTTTCTTCCTTTGTTTTTCTGCTCTTATCCTTTAGACGATTTTTCTGCTCTTATCCTTTAGACAAAATATTCTATTCTGCTTCTTTTCTTGTTCTGTGAAATATTTTATTTGTGACCTGCCAATCTTCCGCTGAACAAACCCAGTATCTTAATAGGAGAATAAAAGTTGAAGTAAAAAAAGTCCTGAAAGAGTTTATCCAGTATTTCATAAACATGGTTAAAAGCTCTAATACTTCCAAAGAAGAGAAAAGAAACAGGACCACAAAGTGATTCAAAGAAAAATAGTGCCCACATTTTTTTCCCAGATGGCATTTCTTTCCATTAGAATGCACACAGGCAATCTTGTTTGTGAATTTTTCTGACCCAGAACAGAAAAAAAAATGACCCAAGGAAAGCTGCGTAGAATTCATTGTAATTTTCATTTTCCATTTTAAACATCAGAGCAGGAATGATCCCAAGTCTACCTACAATGAAGAGAACCTGGCTCAGTGTATTTTTGATTTTTTTGCTGCTGGGACAGAGACAAGCTTTGCTACTCTGAAGTGGGCACTCCTTCTCTTGACAAATCATCCCGATATCCAAGGTGAGCGAAATCTGCGCAGTGGGAACAAAGGGCCAATCTCAGGTTCTAAAACCCAGAGAAATTATTTGAAGGTATTTGAAATATTAAAGGGTATTGAATGATGAACTGAATCTATTCTTCATAATAATTTTCCTATATGGATTCCTGAACCAAAAATTATGAACACGAGTTTAGCGGGATGAAAGGAAAGCATAGACATTACATAAGGAGATCCTTCTTTGATATCCTTAATAAAATATTGAGTGAGGAACTAAAAACTAAAGATCAGTACAAATCTGAAACATTTAACCCAGTGTAAATGCAGAAATCTACCAAGGTTTTTAGTTTTGGTGCTTAGTTTCAGTCTAAACTGCATACAAAAGACCCAATTAGAGTAGAGTATAAAAAGTTAGGAGAAATAATATTGGATCCATATTATTTTCTAGACAATGGTGGTACATTTTTTTTTTAATGGAATCAGATTTCCAAATTGATTGGGATTGAATTCTGGAGACTGACTTGACTGAAGAAGAGTCAGAGATTTTACATATGCACTCCTTCATGATTCTCAAAAGAAGGATGGCTATTCCACCTCTTAAAGTATCACCAAGGATTGAAACTGGAAAATAATAATGATGATGATGATGATGATGATGATGATGATGATGATGATGATGATGATGATGACGATGATGACGATGATCATAATGAAGTGAAGCAAAATAGAAAATGAAACCCAGCTTCGATTTCCACCTTTTTTTTTTTCTAGAGAAAGTCCAGAAGGAGATTGAAGATGTGTTTGGCTTATCGGGGTCAATTTCCTATCAGGATCGGAAGAAGCTGCCCTACACCAATGCCGTGATTCATGAAATGCAGCGTGTAAAGTATATCTTGCTATTTGGGGTTCCCAGGCAAAGCACAAAGGATGTGAAGATGAGGGGTTACCTTATTCCAAAGGTGAGAAATGTATTCAGGCTGCATTCCACTGATCCAACATGAAAGGAAAAGCAAAATACGGCACTTGGATAAGGAACTGCCAATGTAGTCATGCAGAAATGGATGGGCAAGAATAGCAAACTTTTTGGAGGATGAATTATGGGTTTAAATCCATAAATCAGATTTTAAAGTTACAACCTTAAATGTTTTCTATTTATCCTAGGAAGATGGTAAGAGATTAAGGCTGAACTTAAGTTCCAAATTGTATTCATGCCTGACCATGTTTCTTTGTCCATTTCTTGAAGTGATAAATATGCACCCAGATCTCTGTTTAAATGGAAGGAAGGGGAGAGAAGGGAGGGGAGAATCTAGTTCTCAGAATCTGTTTAGGAAATGAACAAATAGGGGTCCATAAAGGCAAGCTAAAACCAAATGCTTTATTCATTTGAACTATTTTGCCTGTTTCCCTTATGAAACTCCTCTGTTTAGTCATCTCTATTTTTACAGGGAAGCTTTATTTTCCCAGACCTGCACTCTGTTCTTTTTGATCCTGAACAATGGGAGACACCTGAAGAATTCAACCCAAATCACTTTTTAGATAAGGATGGGAAGTTCATTGAACGGGAAGAGTTTCTGCCCTTCGGAATAGGTACGTCCATCAGCCCAAAGCAGCTTATAACAAATAAATTTCCACCAGCACTACTCCTGAGGGTTTTTTGGGCAACTAACTCCCACAATTCAACTTACTCTTTATGGTGCCAGTCAATTTCCACAGTTTGCTCACCTGCCCCAGCATCAATGATCTAATCATATAGTAATCTATGAGGATATCTACCTGGGTATATCTATGAGGATATCTATCTGGTTATATTCCAATAGGAAAGACTGTAATCATTGTGCCTTCAAAGCCCAACTCCAACTGATGGCCCAGAATGATACATGGTCAATAAACTGAAAATAACTGAGGAAGGAGAATTAGGTCTCCCAAATTCAAGTTTCTGGCATAGCTCATTTGCCCAGAGAACCAAAATAGATTGAGTGTCATAGGCCGATAAAGCCCCAGGTGGAATGGTCAGTTTTATCCAAATGCATCTGGAGCTGTAAGATCATAGCTTCTTTGATTACCTGCATTTTTTGAGGATAACTCTATAATCATAGAGTTAGATGATGCTGGGAGGGGGAATGTGAACGAGAGTCCAGGTAGACATAGCAACATCAAACCTAGCATGAGAAACAATGTTATTGTAACCACAACTGATAAGGAATTGGCGGGCTGGAGAACTGGAGATGAAGCCCACGCTTCAAGCTAATTGGGGAATGTGATTTATAACTGTTAATTGGAGGAGAGAATTGTGCTTTGATACTATGTGCTCAGGGAAGGGGAATTCAGTTTTTTGCTTCGCTTATGCAGTGCTGATGTTATGCTACTCAAAATAAAGATTCTTTAAGGTAAACAATGCCTCAAAGTTCTTTTGAAGAGTTTCATCTGTCGGAATCATGACATTTACTAGTAAAAAGAAATTTATAGTGTTGTTAAAACTGAGCCATCTCTGTATTTCACAAATCAGAGAGGACTTCACAGTAAATGAGACATAACATTCCTTTGATGTATTCTTTCCAGATCTATCAGGTACCTTGACCACAGTATTTTGGTGTCCCTTCATCCCTGCAGAATATGATCTGCAGAAGGTCCTCTCCAATTTCTGGAGAAGTTGATTTCTACCCCTTCAGAATTGCCTCCACATCTGTCCATGGCAATAAGAGTTATGCAAAGCTGGTTCTTTCTCATAGACAAACAAAATATCAAAGCCCAATAATAGCTGGGACAGATCCATGGCAATCACGGCCAAACTGACCTCCTGGACCATTCCTGAATTGACAATCTGCCCATAAATATGAAAATTTCTGAGGAAAAGAAGTCAAAGATAGTCTAATGCCACAGTGGCAATTACTCTGATGGGACCAAATAGAAAGGTGTCCCCACTGAAGACTGTCAACAAACAGAAGAAAAGGGAAGAAAGCAGCTCTAGAAATTGAATCTGTTAGAAGATGCTAGGATTCCAACATGGAATCTACTTTGGAATCTGTTCCAAATCTTTTCATATTTCCTTGCTGGTGGGGATATACTATGCAGAACAGATTATTATTCCCTTTATGCTTTGTCTCATCTTCAGGTCAGCGTGCATGTGTGGGACAGCAGCTGGCAAGAGTTGAGATCTTCATCTTTCTGACCAGCCTGTTGAGGGCCTTCAGCTTCCGGTTGCCTGAAGGAGTGAAAGAACTCAATGAAGCCCCTATTGTAAACGTGGCAATGCATCCACACCCTTACAAACTGTGTGCTATTCCCACACATTCTTAAACTTAAACACCATAAAAAGCGTAACACTAATTCAGTATGTTACTGTTTCCTAAATACCTATTCATGTATGTTTTGCTTCCATTTATTCCACACTTAAACGTCTTGAACCCATTGGTTAGGTTCACACAACATACCTAACCAGGTCAACAAAAGACCAGAAAGCTATGTATGAACAATATGTGAAAGAAGCTTGTTACTCTTTACCTTTGTTTCCTTTTTGGTGCCAATAAAACATATTACTTTCCATTTAGTCTTAGTATCTATTTTCATTTTTAATAAATTTCTCCTATGGACTTTATGTTCTGCAGCCAGAGCAAACTTCATATATATTCCAAAGTTATACTCTGCTAGAAGATATGAAATGCTGGTGAAAGAATTAACAGAAGATGAAGAAAGGGTGTGCAATTCATCCACATCCCAGGGCAGAACATCCACAAGAGCAAGCAATGTGTTTTGTACCCCATACTTAGGACTGAACCTGGACTGGATCCAAATATATCTTACATTTTCTGTGATTACCGCCTAATCATTTTCTCTCCAACCTTCCCCAAAAGCATAGGATTTGCTCCCATCTAGAGGTCACCATTGACTTTTGCAGCCTCAAAACTCATATATCCTGAAGTTCCAGATCAGCTCCAAATTTCAGGCTAGCAAAACCCAGAGCAGACAAACAGGAATGGATTCTGTTCTGCTTGAAAACTAGCCAATCCAGAATAATCAATGAAGAATGGCCATGGGGAGCAGTCATACAGGTGTCTCCAATGCCACGGACATTAAATGCTGGTGTCAGTGGCTCAAGGAACATCAGAGGATGCTCATTATCTGATTGTGGGTTTGGGTCTTAGAACTGTTGAAAGAAAAATCAGGTCCAATTCCAAGCTGGGAATAAAAAATGGAGGCTAACTGCTTAAGAAAGAAGGTTCTTGTTTATTGATGAGCAGAACCAGCAACAGCATCCAGTTCTGGGACAGCTGACAAATTGATTTGATGAGTACACGGATTTTTATATAGTTTTACAGCATTTCATAATTTGGAGGCTTGCTTTGTATGCTTTTATTATTAGATTTGTTCAGCTAGTTTAGCAAAGGCTAGCAATGGGTCTAAAATACTGACTTCCTTGGGTTTTAATCCAGTCAAACAAATGTAATTAATTTTACCCCCCCCCTATCTTTAGTGTATCTATTTCCTCCACTGAGCTCTCTTTCTGAATCAACAGGCCTGATTCAATGTTTCTGCTTTTCACAATAGTCAGGGGTTTCATGAGTGAAACATTGTTTCTGTATTTCATTTCCTGAGTTTTATTTTTGTGATTTGGGGAGCATAGTAAAAAGGATCGGGGGTGTGTGTTCTTACCACAGAACAAAGGCTGATGCCATCCTCTGAATGCCCAACATCTTATATCAGTCTGTCTCCAAAGGAGATACAGTGTCAGACTGAGGTACAACACTAGCTCAGCAAAGTAATCATTGGCAAATCCAACGATGTAGACAACCCTGAAAGCAAGTAGAACGAACAAAGCAGCTACCTGGGAAAATGAATTTCAAGAAATCTTGTGCTGACAGAATTGATTGTAACTTGCAACCATCAATTCTGGGGTGTGTGTGTTCATATATAGAACTGTGATGGCACAGTGGTTATAGCACAGTGGTTAGAATGCAGTACTGCAGGCTAATTCTGCTGACTGCCAGCTGCCAGCAATTTGGCAGTTCAGGTCTCACCAGCTCAAGGTTAACTCAGCTTCCGTCCTTCCAAGCTTGGTAAAACGAGGACCCAGATTGCTGGAGGGCATTATGCTGACTCTGTAAACTGCTTACAGAGTGTTGTAAAGCACTATGAAGCAGTATATAAGTCTAAGTGCTATTACTATTGTTATTGCTACTACATTGGAAAAGGAAAGCAGGCCGTTCCATCCCTTGGCATCCCTAAGCCACGTGGTTCTGTCCTGGAAGTGGGTGCAATTTCAAAGCAGCCACAATTCTGGGATGGAGCCATGTAGTCTGGAGAGAGGCCAAGGGGTGGAGCGTTCAATTCTCCTTCCCCAACTTGATCTCTATGGCTTTAAAAGGGTTAGTGATGTGTGTGTGTGTGTGTGTGTGTGTGTGTGTGTGTGTGTGTGTGTTGGTTAAGGCATCAGGCTAGATACTGGATGACAGGGAGTTCTAGTTATACCTTGGGCACAAAACCATCTGGTTGACCTTGGGCCACATTGTCTAGGAAGAAGGCAATGACAAACAACTGGACGGTAATAAATCATGAAAAAAATATTAATAAATTGTCCCTCAAAATACTTACAGCAACAGGAAATGACTCTCAACAGCCAGATGAGCCCAAATGGTGGGGAAGTTTTCTGGAACAGGTCTCATGAGGAAACTGGAAATAAAGGGGTAAATCTTATAGCCCTTCTTCCCTACCCCTTTGGAATTCCCACCTCATTTTCAGAATAATTAGCAAGGAGAAATTAATGTTTGCATTAATGCTCATTGGAGAGGAGGAAATTACAAGAGAGTAAACAATATGTGGGAAGTCAGAGCCCCAGAGAAGGAAATATTAAAAGGGCAGAAAAATATATTTTTCCTCAAAAGGATTTTTAAAAGCAGGAGCCAACTATCCCAAACAGGAGCCAGCCCTATACAAATG